TCCTACTTCCGTAGTGATACTGCCTCGGAAACCCAAGGAGGGGTCCCTATGAGTCAGGGCCGACTTGATGGCAAACAACAACAACAAAAACAAGAAACGGTAAATACAGGGAAGAAGTGGAAAGAGTGCTGTTACATTGTGGAGACTGCAAACAGTGTCTCAAAACAAATTATTTATGAACTGTTGAATGGAACACTAATTTGCTCTATAAACTTTCACCCAAAACACAATAAAAAAATTTTTAAATGACATTTTAAGAACAAAATTCAATTAATCTCTGTTATATAAGCAAGTTACATGATGAATATGAGTATCTCCAGGGGCCAATACCATGGAGGTCCATTATTGATGTAGAAAATGACACTCTTAGTCAACATTTAAAAACAAAAAAAATCCTAGTATAGTCTAACACTGGATATAACTTCCTCATAAAATTGTAAAGGATATAATCACTTTTTCTTTTTTAACTCTCAAAAAACTAATGGGGATAAATCTCTTTGTTTTTAAAACATCACATGACCTTAAAAGTATGGAGTAACAGTATAGCATTAAGAAAACAATCAAGATGTAAAGTTGTATGTGTGTGTGATGATTCCAATTCTTTAAAACTGCATGAATATATGCTCACACACATATATACATATGAACATATATGTACATACGTGGCTCTGATTTCATTCGTTTTCTATTAGAACTAATTGATTTCATTATGACTTTGATGTCATTTTACCAAGAGATCATTTTATGTACACACACATGTATGTTTTAAGTATGTATGTTGTATATATATATATATATGTTGTTGTTATGTTGTTATGTGCCATCGAGTCGGCCCCGACTCATAGCGACCCCTCCTTGGGTTTCCGAGGCAGTATCACTACGGAAGTAGGATTGCCCAACCTTCCTTCCGAGGAGTGGCTGGTGGGTTTGAACCGTCAGCCTTCTGGTTAGCAGGCAAGTGACTTTAGCCACTATGCTACCAGAGCTCCCATATGTATGCATATTTCTGTGTCTGAAGAAAATAAAATAACAGTTGTTATATTTGGGTGATAGAACAACAGGTAATTTTTATTTTCTTTTTTATATTCTTTTTACATCTTTCAAATATACCTATAGTGAAAATTAATAAAAGTCAGGGGAAAACTAATTTTAAAAAGTGAATATGGCATTTCACTGGACACTGTAGAACCTTATCTACTTTAGTGTAGAGACTAGTTCTCACACAGGATTTGTGGGGAAGGGAGAGGGAACTGGTGGCCTCTCATGTAGGAGTGGAAATATATACCATCATAACTCTCCAAGTCCACTTTTCACTAGAATTGTCTTAGGCACTCTTACAGAAGCATAATGCAGCAGGTAAGATACTTTTTGGTGGACTTAGAGAAAAATATTAGTGCCGATGGCATGAAAACTGTTGGCTAGAAAATAATTTGAGATGGCAAGAATAAAGCATCCCTATCAGTCATATACCATACCATCCTTTTCCTCTGCAGCCCAGCATGTCACATTTTTTTAGAGTAAAATGTTAAGACTTGGATTCTTTAAGTCATTTTCCAATGACACAAAAGAAAATGGAATTATGCAAAGAAAAGGAAGGAAGGAAGGCTACCATGCTCTTTCCCTTTATTTGAAAGGTTTTAACCAAGTACTATAATTTGACTAAGGAATGTTTATAGAAATTTTTAAAAAATTACTTCAGAACAGAATCAAAATATATTTCCTGATATATACAATATTATGCCCCTTCAAGACTATTCTAGGTGAAGAAACAGAATTTAAATATCTAAATTTAAATTTCCATTGTTTAACAAATAATGTTTGCATAGTCATCTTCATAATAGTGTGATCATGTTACCAGAAAACAAATTTTCAGTAAAATCTGGGATCTGCATATTTGAAAATGCTTTCCCTTATTAACAAGCACACATTAAACAAGGGACTAAAATAAAAAAAGAAAAAATGACTAGAAGTACCCTGCAGGGAAAACTTTCTGCTTCCCTATGCATCCACCACCAAAACAACACTGCGCTATTCTAATTCAGACCATCACTTCCTTATAGTTAGAAATCAGAGAGCGCCTATTTTCATTGCTTCTGATTCTGCCATGCTGCCCACAATCTATCTTGTAAGGCCACCATGAGACTAATTTCCCTCAAGCACCACTATGACCACAGAACTCAACAGATCAAAAACCCTTCACCATATGAAGTATAAAATTCTTGCCCTGGTGCTAAGACTCCAGAATTAGGCCCAAATACAAATGTTATGTTCCAACTTATAATGGGGCTATGAACTGTTCACTTGAAATGTACTATTATTTTCTGCCTCCCTCTCATCACCTCTGTCTGGAATAAATAATTCTGATTACAGACTGAACAGTCACTAAGAATTTACTGAACAAATGTTTTGCTGATTGCACCACTAGTTTCTCTGAATGCTGGGTACAGAATTTTGTAGTTTACTAATAGTTACAAGCCTTGAAAAAACTGTAGTAGTGTCTGCCAGGAATTATTTACTAGACAACTAGAATTTCTAAGTCCTGTATAGAATCATCACCTAAAGTATTAAGATACATTAGAACAGCAGTAAATTTTTCAGTCATTATTATTTATATAACTTAAGCAAAAGTTATTAAAAATCTAAAAATATAGTGAAGTTGTAACTGTTAATTAAGATATAAGACTGTTAACATGCAAGAGGTAACAAAGCAGCTAGGCTTAGTGCATGCCAAACACTAAAAATTGTCTGACTTATTCATATTAGTCCTGTTTCTCAGCCAGGTTAGAACATTCTGCTGCCTTGTACATAAGCAAAGATTTTGTCTCGTGGCCAACTATATATAATTTCTAACAGTTTTTGCTTAAGGAGAAAATATTAAACATGCAAATATTTAACTCAGATGATAAATAATTCCTAGAACAGTGTTGCTAGATGATTTTTGTAATTCCATCAAAGAGAGCAATTTCTATCATCCACATCAGGACTAGACTACCTGGTACAGAAGAATGAACACGGGTTTTGAAGACTGAGAAACCAGGATTTCTATCTCAACTCAGACACTACTATTATACATAATTCTGAGTATGTTACCTAACTCCTAGAAGAATCGATTTCCTCAAATGCAAAGGTTTTTAAAAATAATTATTCCTATTTCTCAGGGTTGTAAGACTTAACAAATACATATATGGCAGATGCTAGTACATGTTAATATAACTTCTCAATAAATGTTCATTCCTTGGCCTATTTCCCTGCACCACTTTTTAAGTAGTGAATTACTTGAATCCATGCTTCCTCTTTCTACTCAACAATTCTAATTATTACCCAACTATTCAGAATGAATATTGTCTTCACTCATCCAAGTGTAAAAAGATACTCTTTAAAACTCTACAAATGAATTACCATTCCTCTACAAAATAGCAAATTACTGCTCTACCAGTACTACATTATTGAAATTTTATTCATGCAGTAAAGGATGATGCATATATTGTGTTTGTATGTGTGTATGAGACTTTTGGTACTGCAAATTATCATATTATATCCCAAAAAGGGGAGAAGATATGTATATAATTCTGAGACCTGTCCATTAAACTTTAATGAAAGTACTAACATTTTAAAAATATTTTACATCTGTATCTTTTTAGTTAACACTATTAGAAAATAATACTTCCTTAATAGATCCTATTTTATGACAGGTGCTTTCAGTAATTAAAGCTATTCCTTAGCACATAAAAAAAGGAAAATATATACTGGATTCTCAGGAACAAACAGCAGATCACTCAGCCTGCTTAATTAGTATTAGGGGCAAACTAGGTCTCACTTCATCTTTTTGCCACCAGCTATAATCTGAAAGGGACAGTTTTTAGATACTAAAAAGCATAGAGTTCTAACAGTGAATGAAGTTTTCGGTAATCACAGTTAATATTTTTTAAAAAGTACTTACTATATAGCAGTCATTGCCCCTAAATCCTTTTAACGTATGAATGCATTCAATCTTCTTTATGAGTTTAAAAGATAGGTACTATTATTCTTTGAGGAAACTGAGGCTTAAAGAAGTAAGTAACCTACTGAAGGTCACAGAGCTAGGAAGTAGCCTAACTGGGATATAAACCAAGGCGGTCTAATTCCATGCTCCTAGCCACTACTGTTAATGGCCTCCTTCCTATCTGACTCATTGTTCCCTTTTTATAGCATATAGTTTTGAGGTCCCTTTCACTATTCCAAATGAAATCTGGTAATATAATCTACCCATTAAAAAAAATAATACAATGTTTGAACTGTAAATAAGAGAAACTAAAAGAATTTACAAAATGTGTATTTCACTGTAAAACAATTTATAAAGTTATGACTTTAATTAGCAATGTTCAGTCACAACTATACTAGGAGACAAAAAAAAAAAAAAAAAAGCCTAGAAATTTCCAGAATGCCCTAGATGGCAGTATCATCTTAATGGAGAATCACTGCACTATTGTACACTGACTTTCTGCTGTTTTGCAGGATTTTTCCTGAGTTATATTCTCTCATTTTTGTTTCTTACAAAGATCACTCCCTACACCATTACGTATAAAATTATAAAATTTGTACCACCTCATGAATATCCTGTACTGCTTAATTTCCATGGATGAGTTTAAGCCACAAATAGTTAACTTCTCAGTAAGAACACAGAACAAAACATAAAGAAATTAGCATCAATTAAACCTGGTCCCCACCACCACTTAATTGCCAATTAATTTCTTACTACTTATTTTAGGTGCAATGGCAGATTATATACTTCTACAGCTTTCCTCATTTAGCAACTAAAGTTCACTATGGGAAGATCATGCTTTTAGAATTAGTTATAAGAACCCAATCAAACACTTATTCAGTTTACAAACAGAAAGAATTCCCCTCCATCCACGCATCCATCCATAAAAATATATAAAGGAGGGAGCCAAACCCAATCCCTTTCAAGCGCAGACCTGTTCTTTGGGACGCAGGCAGCTCACTGGCATCAGGCAGTATACCTGTTGTTCCAGGAGGCAGCACATAAGCTGAAGATGATGGTGGAGCTCCTGGTCCGCCATGCTGGTAGGAGGCTCCAGAGGAAGGGGGAGGAGGGAAAGCAGCAGCAGGGCTGGAGGTAGGTGGAGAGGCCTGGTGCTGCGCTGCATATAGCTGAGACTGCCCAGAATAGGAAGAAGCAGAAGATATGTAAGGGGTGTTAGGGTAAGCGTTTGAAGCAGGAGGAGCGACAGGCTGCTGAGGTCGATACATTGCTGACCCCCCTGTTCCGAACGAATACTGCTGGGCTGGTTGATAAGCTATACCGAGGAGAAGAAACAGAAATTTTAGTTAGTTAAAAGTTTATTCAAGCATAATAAAAACTCAAAGAGTTACTCATTCTACAAAGAATTTTCAATCATTATAATTTTTGTATCATTCTTCTTATAATAACAGTAAGTTATAACCAAAACACAATACTTAGGTTTCTGATGGTTCATATGCCCTAAATAATATTTTTGAGCTTGCACATTATTAGGTGCAATATTTGAAAACTGCCATCCCCAATATTGCTAGTGGCTATGAAAGTCTTTGAATCATTAGACCCAAGAACTGTGAGACTAATCCTTTGAGATTTTTTTTTTTTTTTTTTTTGCTTCTGTCAAAAAACTGTAGTGACGCCTACTAGCCACCAGATGGAAACAATGCTAGCATTACACATCCAAAGCACTCCCTTTACAGTTCAAAGCTTCTGTCTGATTGCAGTTAAAACCACTCCTCCGTAAGCACTACAGGGTAAGCACTATTATTAGAAATCAGTATCTTCTCCCAACTCCAGTAGAATCACCAGCTACTCAGATTCTGTGTTTGAACACAGTTCCAGACCAAGAGTCAACTCTATGGTCCCTAACAAAACAATTACTATTTAACATTAGACATGCGATATGTAGTTGGCTAGTAAGCAATTAAACAGCAACTAATTTTCTAATGCACAGATCTGAACCAAGACTTAAAAAACCAGTTGCTGTTGAGTCAATTCTGACTTGGTGACCCCATGTGTTTCAGAACTCCAGAGTTTTCAATGGCTGTGATCTTTCAGAAGTACTTTCTTCCAAAGCACCTCTGGGTGGATTCAAATGGCCAAACTTTTGGTTAGGAGCTGAGTGCATAACCATTTGCACCACCCAGACTCTGAACCCAGATTAGGATGATCTTAGTAGCATCATATTCTATGTGACCAGGGGTAGGTATTAATCTGTAGAGTGAATTTAGAACTGTACCTGTTTCCTATCAGTACTTTGAAGATAGAACTTTCACACTAAACGTGAGTGAAAGGTTTGCATGAAATCTGTATCCATGTTAAGTAAGAATAACCATTGTAGCACAGAACATGTTAGTTTGGATTAGCTCCTACTAGGTAATGGTCTCTTGTTTTTACATATAGTTACTTAGACATAGCATATTCCCCTGAGAGCTTTTTATTCCCTCTTCATTTAAATTCTGAATTAGTGATCATTTCTTACTTTCCAAGTGTAAATACTTTCTTTTTAAAAAGAAAAAGCCCCCAGGACCATTTTTTTCCAAAACTGGTTTGTATCATCTTCCCTAAAGACAGTAATTTCTAAAATTGTATTTTTCAATACCAAAATCATGGGACATTTGCCTCTTTTTATCAAGTCTTATTAGCAATGACCCAAGAATAAGAACTAACTGTTCTGAACAGACTGACTTAAGGCACTGCTTCTTACTAGTATGTTAATTCAAGCCACCTCTTTGGGAAACTATGTTTCACTACAGCAAGTCCTATATAGGAATGTTCTTTCTTGTCAAATCTGATTTAACCATGGATTTGGAGCTTCAAAGTAAATGCTTACATCAGGTAAGACATGCTGCTATGTAAGGACTTCAGGGTCACACTACTTACGCTGTGGCTGTGGATAAGGTGGTACCTGGGTATGCATATGACCGGGAGATGTAGGCAGTGGAGCGGCAGGATTTGGATTAACATTTCCATGCATTACGAAACCTGGAGGTGGAGGATTTTCTCCCTAGGAAATGAGAATACAGTAAGAAGGAGGATTACATTTGGAACTAGGAACTTTACCAGATAGATTTATAATTTCCTAAATGGAATTCTTTTGAACTAAAGGATTTCATTCTGCACATTCTCTCTTCTTCAGAATACCACATTTCCTAAGCAGCACATTTTGAGTGATTTAAAGATCAGACAGGTCCAAAGTATTAAGCGCAGTAAATGGCAATGGATGCTAACAGCTTCATAAGATAATAGTTTCAATATTCATAAGTCACCAGAGTTTTCCATCTCTACTAAATTCCATCCACTACTCCACACTCTGTAAATATAAGTATAAATGCCATAAAAGGAACTTTGGCTTCTCTTCAGTTTCTGCCATGTATCCCAACCCCCAAAAAACCCTTCAATGAAATCAGATTTTTAAACCATTGTTAGAATCTTGGTTGATGCTTTTCTAGCTCAAGTCAATTTAGAACTGCAAAAGAAGAGAAGGATAAGGAAATAAATTAATTGTGCTAAAAACTGCTTCTTGCATCTGAAAAGCATTAAAACACAATAAGCAGGCAGACAAATTTGGAGAAAAGGAGTTTGAGAAAGGGGAATTAGAAAATATATACCTATATATATATTTCAGTGAGCAGATTTCTGCTCAAAGAGGAATAATGAAGGATATACCTGTGTGTCAGAGGGAGAGGCTGCAGGTAGATGGCTGGGAAGGGCAGTAGGAGTTTTGTTACTCCAGGTAGTGACAGTAGGGGCAATTCTAACCTGAATTGAACAAAGAAATACCAATCACAGAAAATAAAAAATGAAAACATTAAAAGAAGAAGGGGGTTAAAAAGAAAAGAGAAGAAAAACCCTAAGAGGTATTTAGTTGCCAGATGCAAAGCAAAAAATAAGAGCAATAAGAGAGCATATATTACTCAAGTGATTGCATTCAGGGTAGGTGGAATTTCCAAAGAAAAATATACATTCACAAGAGCAGGGAGGTGAGTAAATGAAAATCAATTAAGAAAACCTAAAATCAAAGCACAAACAACAATGCCATTCAAGTGTCAAGATTAAGGGGGGAAAGCTAGGTTCTATGAGTAGGGAAGGAAAGAATACATTCCAGAAAAAAAAGGTAATTAAGAACGTGATTTTTAAAGCATTAGTAGTATTCATGCTATCATTAGATCTGTGAACAGATTGTTATAAGCTCCCTTTTCTGGATTTCATTAGAGCCACAAAAAATCATATTACTCTCATATAAGGCTTAAAAATCACACAATCAGAGAATATTAAAACTGAAAGGACATAAAGCATCATCCAATCTAATCCCACCCTGCACCACTGAGAAAACCAAGGACCATAGAAGCAAGGGGCTTGACGAGGTCCACACAACTCGGTGGACTGATTCCAAGTCTTGTGATTTCTACACCAGTGTTTTCTACACCATACCATGTGGTTTTCAAATGTTTTAAAAAATATTTTTTGTTAAGTAGATCTTGGTAAAAACTCTTCAAAACATATAAATGCTATGTGTGGTTGAAGTGAGGGTAAAGTCTTCCTAATGTGGCCTCTCTGTTACCCCTCTACACTCACCTATAAACACAGTTTTAAAGCCAAAAGCCAATGCCCTCATTCATTCAATATAGAAACCTTAGTCAAGAAAATTACTATTTATGATTTGATTCTTTTTAAATATGACTTTAGTAAGTCAGAGTATAACAAAAATCTTTTAGTGTTTTTACCTTTTTCTAGAAAGATGAAAGCCAAGCACATAAAAAGTAAATATTCTCTTACACAGATGTTGAGAATGGCTTGTTTCAGTACCTTGAGAGACAAGGAGGTGCTTGGGGGTTCTAATTACAACTTGACCATTAACAGACATGCATCACTGAAAAATTCAAACTCCATGACTTTAAATTCGGGTTGATTATCATCTACTAAATTTTCCTGTCCAAAATATTATATGCCCCACTTAGTATATAATGGACTTCTTAAGTCTAGTGTAAGCTCCATTGGGGGGGTGAGGGGAGTAGTCTATTTTGTTCTCCAACGTACCTTCAACATCTAGAACAATGCCAGGCACTTACAGTAGGCTTTCAATAAATATTTGTCAAATGAATGAAAAAAATCAAAGTAGAGAATATTCCAGATAATTAAGTTATATTCAAATGGAACCTACCCTGATTAAATACCAATCAAAAGTACAATAGACAGAAGAATGAACATGACTCATGGTTTTTTTTTTCATGATTTTACATTTACTTTTGTTACAATCAATTGTAAAAGACCCTACCAATCTGTCAGCAATTTGTCCTATTTTGAAATGGGCAGATTATCTTTTTACTATGTTATCAATATCAAATTTGTTACTTATGAAAAAATGCTTTTCATTTTAAAATAACTTTATCTACCAGTCTAGAACTGTGAAAGTTTCTAAATGAAACAGTAAAAGACATTAAGAGATCACATTTTATGCTACTAAACATGTAATTGAGGAGCTCTGGTAGTGTAGTGCCTAAGGCACTTGACTGTTAACCAGAAGGCTGATGGTTCAAACCCACCAGCCACTCTTCAGAAGGAAGGCTGGGCAATCTACTTCGGTAGTGATACCACCTCGGAAACCCAAGGAGGCATCTCTATTAGTCAGATCTGACTCGATGGCACATAACAACAAACATGTAATTGTAGCACACAATAGGGGCAAGTATTTCTGAAAATTCTTTCACTACATTTGATTTTAAAGAGTCTTAATTTTCAAAAGTCTGAATCCATAAAGATAGAAAATTAAAAACATCACAAAATGTTTTGATTATACATATATACACATATACATACATGTAAAAACTGGAAGAACACATGACCAAATGGTAAGAAATATCTGTGGGTAGTAATTTTTTTTTCATTTTACTTGTCTGTATTTTCTCAATCTGGGAGCTTTGGTGGCATAGTGCATAAGGCATCTATCTGACTGCTAACCAGAAGGCTGGTGGTTCAAACCCCCCAGCCACTCCTTGGAAGGAAGACTGGGCAATCTACTTCCATAGAGATACTGCCTTGGAAACCCAAGGAGCGGTTGCTATGAATTGAACCAACCTGACGGCAGTGAGTTTGGTCTGAGTGTATTTTCTCAATTATGGACAGTGAATATATATATGTTACTTCTGTAATTTGGGAAAGCTCTTTTTATAAATCATGATTATGGGTACTATTAACTCAGAGTAAAATCCTCATATTTTCTTCAAACACACTTAGGCAAGATTTTGTATCTTACCATACCATGACAGAAACTAATAATTTCAAATTAAAAGTAAATAACTGACAATACACAGTATCAATAACTTTTTATTTCTTGCTTTTCACATTCCCCAAACTTCATAAACCCTGGGTCATTACTTTTTTCTAACGTCCAAAAACAAGATTTGTTCTCTGGAAACTATAGTGCTGATACAGTAAATCTGTATTAGTAAACCTACATTAATGATTTGAGAAAAGAATACTCACAAAAGACTATTTTCTAAAAATATTTCATAAAATTAACCAAATTACCCATAAGACTGTTCCAGCTATTTTACTTACCGCTTGTTAGATTAATCAAATAGTAGATGTTTCAAGAATACATGTACAAGGGAAGATTAAGTGATAGAGAAATAAGGCGAAATCTAGAGAGTTAAAAATTCATTTATATCTAAGATATCATTTGCTTGACCAGATTAAAGGGATGATTTAGAAAGGTAGATCATAAATATATTTTTAAGAAATCTCAGAAAGCACAACTACTAAAACAATTTGATGTCTAGCTTTCACCAAATAAATAGCCTACCAAACTAAAACCATCACTTTGAATATTGTTAGTTGTTAGGTGCTGACAAGTCAGTTCCAACTCATAGTGACCCTATGTACCACAGAACGAAATGTTGCCTGATTCTGCACCATCCTAACAATCAATGATAGAAATACATAAATGGCCCCACTTCATCTGGACCAGGTCACTCACATGAGGATAATACTGTTGAGATGGAACTCTTGGCATCTGTGTATGGCCAGCAGTTGGTCCAGGCCCGCCCTTCGGCAGCTGCTGCCTCTCATAAGGAATTTTGGGTGTTTCATGTTTTGGTACAGGCTCTCCTTGTGCTCTACAAAGTCTGTCACGTAGCTGCACGATATTTGCCTGTAGAGAAGCAATGGAAGGAAACAAATTATTACAGTTCACTTAACTATATGACAGCACGAATGTTTTCTTAAAAGTAAAATCAGGAGATCATTTGAGAGACTACGTTTTGTTCATACACTCAACAATTCAACATTCATGGTTATAAACACTTAAAAATGACCTCAAAGGTCCATGACATGAAGTAATTTGCAATTTAACTGAGGCAGAAATTTGAATATGATCTTGCACATGGTTATCAGATTAGATCCATAGACCAGAAATGGAGAGCCTAGAGGACACACTTTTTACCACTACAGTGAAGAACAAATTTGTGAAGGGAGCCCCAGCATCCTTGAAGACTGCTGTGATTGCTATTTTATGAATGCAGGATTTGACAGTGAGAACTGCTCTAAATGAACTAAGATACTTAACTAAGATAAGGCTGACTGGACCCCATGACAGTAGAGGCCAAGTGGCAGCAGTTAATCGACAAAAACAAGGTGAGTGTGGTTATTATAATGGACAGCAGAGTCAAAACAGTAATCAGAAAACTCTGACTCATGTGAAATCATGGCACTGGCTACTTAGGCATGGTGTACCTAGGAGTGAAATACATGGCAAACCTACTATTTACGTGATCTGTATAGACAGAAGAATTCTTGGTCACATTAAGAGCAGTCTAGAATGAATCACCAGAATAGAGAGTCACGGCCTGTGGTAGTTCAGTTTATGTGTCAAATTGGCTGGGCCTGGTTGTGCGGCTAGGCAACTGGTGGTAGTTATTCCCCATGATGAGAGTGGTAATCAACTCCATGGTGGGATCTACCACAAGCAGCTGAGTAGCTGCCTTAGGGAATGTGGTCTGCTTCCCATATATAATAAGCAGAAGCCTTGGGAAATAGTCTCTAGCATATGGCACGCTTGGACCCTGCATGTAGCCATGTCATTGTTCAGCAGCCTGCCATGCTCTGCCAACCTTGGGACTTCCTTGACCCAAGAACACAGCAGAGACACTGGCAAATAGAAGGTAGCCAGCAGAGCCAGCATTAGACAGCAACAGGCTTACCAGCCCATAAGGAGAAAGGTGGATGCCACTGGGTAAGTGGTTTCCTGGTTGAGTGGGTTGCCTTCAGCCATTAACTGGTAGAAGATTCTGGCAAGAAATGGAATAGCAGGCTGGCTGGCCCAGAGAGCAAGGAAACTGAGTGATTTTTGAGGCAGAAGATTTCTGGTGGAGTGGGTTACCTTCGGCATTAATTGGCAGAAGCAGAAAGACCAAAGAACTGGAAAGCAGCACTGCCTCAGCCTCAAGTGTAGGATCATGGCTTTGGTGGTGGAACCATCACAGCTCTTAGGTTCCAAAGAGTTGGACCTTCACCAACTTGGTTCTGGAGTGTGGGTCTACTCGTTCACATGGACCAGTGGGATGAAGCCATAGCTGCTGCCCAAGAGTGAGGAGGCAGGGAAGGCATGCCCAAGAAGTAGAGGAATGAGGCCCACCAGGCTAAGGGGGTGAGGTCGCCACTCGGAGGAACTAGGGGACTGGAGCCACCCAGCGAAGGAGATCTGTACAGATGACACCCAATGAAGATTTGTGCAGGTGCCAAGTTGAGTGGCTGAGCAGCTGAATGTAGTTATTCCCCATGGTGAGACTGGCAATCAATTCCACGGTGGAATCTACTAGAGCAGCTGAGTAGGTGCTTTGGAGATACAGTCTGCTTCCAATACATAAGAAGCAACTTTGAGGAAGCTGCCTGACTTACAGTATGCTTGGACCCTGCATGTAGTCATTCAGTAGGCTGCCATGGCCTGCCGATGTTGGGACATTTTCTGGATTTGAATTAGTGGCCTGCCGTGTTGTTTGGTAGTATCAGAACTGTGCCTTGTTACTTGTCGACCTTGGGTTTGTCAGCTTCAGCAGCCAGTAGCTGCCTGAGTGAAGAAAAGCCTCCAGCTTCAGTGGGCTGGGAACAGGAGGCAGAGCTGAAACCCAAGGTTGAGGGGCTTTCACCCAGGCCCTAGAGCCTGGTACTTTGAACTTGGACTTTGAGCCTCCAAAACTGTAAGAGAATGAACTCCTGTTTGTTCAAGTCATATCACTTGTGGTATATTCCTGTCAGAGTGGCACTAAGTAACCAGAACACCAGGTTTACTTGTCTATAGCCATCCTGCATTAGTAAGTTCCCTGGGGGCAAGGATCTTGGCAATCTTATTCATCGCTGTATACCCAGCCATTTGTTTTGAACTGAATTGAAGAAAGTATCATGAAAATGTTCAGATTTCATTATACACTAAATAAGTACGATAAATTAGTAATGTACATAGTTCCTTCTGCCTTGAATACTTTAAAAATACACTTGCCCACAGACAGAATCTGACCAAAATGGCATATAGGATAAACTTCTTCACTAATACTTGGGCTGGCACATGTGTCAACTTAAAAATCATACTGCACCACAACCCCATGCGTTCGATTAAGCATCAAAATTTATAGCTTTCCAACATAAACAATTCCTACAAAGAAACTCATCTGCAAAAGCAGCATTTGGCTTAAGAAACAGAAAGCTGTTTTTTCTCTCATTTATTTTCCTCTGATACTATCTATGCTCCTCAATAAAACAAAATCTACTGTCATCGAGTCAATTCTGACTCACAGTGAGACCCCATCGGGTTTCTAAGGCTGTAAATTTTTACAGCAGGTTGCCTCATCTTCCTCCCATGGAACACCTGGTTGGTTTGAACCGCCAACCTTTTGGTCAGCAGCCCAATGCCTTAAGCACAGTGCAACCAGAGCTCCCTCCTTAGTGAAAAGAAATCTATTACATTACAACAACACACTATCTCTCCAGGTATACCTGGAAATGATTGTTGAAGAACTGTCAATAACATTTACCAAGATTAGGTGATAAAAATTTAACTGCTCCAAAACATTCCATCTACTAGTATGTTTATGTCTAATACCAGTGCTATCTACTGTACTTATGTTACCCATACATTAAAAGAAAAAAGCTGTCAATTCTAATTACCTGGTTGGTATTTTCAGGAAGAAAAGCCAAGGCAGAAGCAATACTGCCCTGGGCTGCTAACAAATTGGCATACTGACTCATCTTCTCAGCCAAAAGTATCCCTACAGTATTAGTGTCCATGGTTTGAGTGAGTTGTACAGCTTTTCGTAGGATAACAACTTTCTCAATCAGATCCTAAATGAGAAAAAAAAAAAAAAAAAGTCAGAGAGAAATGAAGATACTGAGACCATCCATGTATGTTAAGAGAAAACAAAAAAAGATCAAGTTACTAAAATTTCTGAAACCTATTTAAAGTATGTTGTTGTTATTGGTGTTGTTATGTGCTGTCGAGTCAGACCCGACTCACAGCGACCCCTCCTTGGGTTTCCGAGGTAGTATCACTACGGAAGTAGATTGCCCTATCTTCCTTCTGAGGAGTGGCTGGTGGGTTGAACCGCCGGCCTTCTGGTTAGCAGTCAAATGCCTTAGGTACTATGCTACCAGAGCTCCTATTGAAAGTATAGTACGTACCAAAAAAGGCAAACAATCCAATTTGAAAAATGAGCAAAGGCTCTGTAAACTTTCACCCAAATCACAATTAAAAAAAAAAAAAAAAAAGAGCAAAGGACTTGAATGGTATTTCTCCAAAGAAGATATACAAATGACCAATAAGCACAGAAGATTTTCAGCATCGTTATCAGTGAAACATAAAACCATGATGAGACAGCACATCCCCCACCTCTAAGATGGCTATTATCCAAAAATTAAAAAAGGGAAAATAACAAATGTTGATATGAATGTGGAGAAATTGGAACACTAGTGCATTGTTGGCCGGAATATAAAATGGTTCAGACACTGTGGAAAATAGTTTACCAAAAAACCAAAACCAAACTCACTGCCACTGAGTCAATTCTGACTCATAGCGACCCCTCCTTGGGTTTCCGAGATAGTATCTCTACGGAAGTATATTGCCCAGTCTTCCTTCTCAGGAGTGGCTGTTGGGCTTGAACCAACAGGCTTCTGGTTAGCAGTTAAATGCCTTAGGCACTATGCAACCAGAGCTCCTATGGAAAATAGTTAGGTGGATCCTTAAAAAGTTAAACATAGAATTATATAACTCAGCAACTCCATTCCTAAGTATATACCTAAAAGAACTGAAATCGGGGACTCAAAGACATACTTTTACATCAGTGTTTACTGCAACATTATTCACAACAGTCAAATGGTGGAAATAACCCAAATGCTCATCAACAGATGAATGGATAAACAAAATATGGAAGATAAACACACACACAAAGGAATATTATTTAGCCATAAAGAGTAACGAAGTTCTTGACGTATGGTCACACGAATAAACTTTGAAAACATTACGCTAAGTCAAATATTATATGATCCCACTTAAATAAAATACTTAGAACAGACAAATGCATACACACAACACTTTATTAGTGATTACCAGGGACTGCAGGGAGGAGGAAGGGGAATTATTGCTGAAGTGATACTGAATTTCTTTTTGGGGTGATGTAAAACTTTTGAAAATGGATTATGGTGATGGATGCAAAACACCGTGAATGTACTTAATGTCACTGAATTTAACACTTAAAAATAGTTAAAATGGTAAATTTTATGTTATATATATTTTGCCACAATTTAAAAAAGTATAGTACCTATTATCATCCCTCTTAGAAAGGTTTGGAATAGCTGACTGCCATTTAGATATTTAAAAAACAAGGCCTTTTACTCATGAATAAGGCATACATTATGATCTTCTCCTATATATCTTTAAACTGCTAGATACCTGTTTTGTGAGCTAAAATAGGCAAATATCCATTTGAACCAACTGAGAAGCAAACGTTTGAAGGCAACAACAAGGTTTTAGCAGGTGTAGGAGGAACTGTGAATGAAAACATTGTATTGTCCATACTACAAAAATCTTACTACTCTGAGTTGACCCACAGACAAAGGCATATGACCTCCAAATGGCCTTACCATTAGCCTGAAATTTTTCATGTTGCTCTCCAATACCAATTCTCTTCATAGTACACATATCTATAAGTGTGAAACCAGTGTGCTTCTCCCCCAGAAGCACTTAGCAGGAAAACCTTGCTTTCCTACCTGGTGTTCAGTTTGAATACAGAAACCTATAATTCTAGTCAAAAAAAAAAGGAAGACTCTTTTTAAAGAGAAAAGGAAATATTATGCTGAAATATAATATTATGTCTCCTACTCCTTTCACTACATTGCTTCTTCCTTTGCCCCAGGCAAGCAAGGTCACAAGAGGCAGACAGGAGTAAGAGGGAAAAGAGGTACATGCTCAGAGTGTTTCACTGACCTGCCACCCATTTTCCCCAACAAATTGTCAAATTACAACTTCAACCACACAAACTGCTGCAACCCCCATTCAAAAGATGATGCATATTATTAGCTAGAAAAAGAACTTCTAGAACTTATTAGTAAGTACGGTGAAAGCAATGAAGTTCCAAAACGAATAAATTTCTAGAAATATAACCTGATCATATGTAAAGAGAAAGACAGCACTAAAAAGTAAGTAAGTACCTTTTGCTTCAAACATACCAACCTGAAGTGACAAAGGGTTGCTTCCATCTTGAGCTTTAGTCCAACATGCAACTAGTTTCTCTACATTCCCAGCACAAATATAGCAGAGACAAGCTTGAGTCTGCAGGAGGCTATCACCTTCACTTTCAAGCCTGGTTCCCAAAAGATCTGTAGATCAAAAGGAAAACAAAGTTGTATTCTGTTCTTTTTGGATGTTTAGATAGTTTCTAATATTTCCCTAAAATAGCTAATACACTGATACACCCTCCTTGTGCCTAAAGATCTGTGCAAATTTCTGATTGTTGAATTTGGCTGTATTCCTAGGAGTGGAATTTCTAGGGCAGAGGATTTGAACATTTTTAAGGCTCTCACTTGATGTCACTGCTTTCTGTAAAAGCTCTACCAGTGTTGAGTTCCACCAGCAATGCATTCCCAGCAGCCTCCCCAGCCTCATCTTGTGTCACTCCTGCCCCTGTTGTATTTTAGCCACACTGTCTTGCCTTTCAGTTCCTTATACACTCTATGTATAAGGCAACCTATAATATTACGTCATGAGCAGCCTAATAATAATTTCAGAAGTAGGGATTAAACGTCACATCCAATGAGTAAGAAACAAAATCACTATCATATAGTAAGTACTTCTTTTCTAAACGAATAGAAGTGGGTGACAAACTGTGTATAATAAACTATTTCACCAGATTCTACACCTAGGTGTATAACTGATTTCTGATCATTGTATTTAGAAAATGAAAGGGAAGAATATATAAGAAAAATCTTTAATAAGCATTTAACTCTATTTCATCACATCAGATGTTTCTGTAAACAATAGACTGAAACACGGCATGGCAGCTAGGTCTATCATAAATTATTTATAATTAAAAGAATATCATGTAATTTTTATATCCCCATAATATTTTCAAACTAGTAAATAATTGGTTTCATACTAGCAGCCTTATTGTTCCTTTCTGCAAATAAAAAATATTTATTCCTAGCCACCAGTTTAGTCATGGCCTTTAAAGGTAATTTCTACTCTAATGTTGCAATGACTAATTTTAACATGATTGTTGTTAGTTGCCATCATGGCAGCCCTTCATACGATACAACAAAATGCAGCCTGGTACTGAGCCACACCAACCGACTACGGAGCAGAATGCCATGATCCAGAGTGTTCACCGGCTGACTTTTTAGAAGCAGCTTGCTGGGCTTTTCTTCCTGGTCTGTCTCAAACTAACATTTATTAACTCAGAGCTACTTCTTCCATAGCATTTTACAGATAAGTAAACAGGCTCAGAAAGTAATTTTTCTTAGGTCATACAGTTAATAACAGGCAGGGTCAAGATTCCAGCCTTTGCCTATCTGAAACCAAAATCATTAAACAGTATTTTTATAAGTAATGAATAGGTATGGCGTCAACATATGCAGGTCATTAACAATTCTAATGAAAGCATTCAAATGATAACTTCTTTTGTCTATTTGTCATCAGCAGGTTAACAAAAATTTCTAATAAAATTTGTCATTCATTTTATTCAAAATATACCATGCCGTATTTGTAACGTATTAAACATGAAGTTCATTTCATATTAAACATGAAGTTCATTTCTTACCACAGAGGGCTGAAAATTCATCTGGTTTAGCGTAAGTCAATACTGCAGCTAAGGCCTCTCTCCAATTTTTAAGGTCACAAGACTCAACAATCTCTTTCCAGTTCTTCATCACCACTGCAGTGATCAGCTTGGGAAAGGAAAACAAATGGAGAATTAAAAGACTTCTATATATTAATAAAAATTAATTGTGGCTCATTAATATTACCTTTCAAAACCAGTATGTATAGCATAATAAAGCAGCAGCAAAGTACAACATTATCTTTGAGCCAACTGACATAATGAATGGTATTATTTTTCTTTCCCCACAAAAAGAAATAAAGTACTGAGTAGAAAGAGTAAGAATTAGCCTCATCAAAATGGAAAAACCACTGCAGGCCACAGAACAACAGATGCAGAGCTCTGAGGGAGAGAGTGTGTAAGGAACTAAAGGCAGACAGTGTGGCTAAAATACAACAGGGGCAGGAGTGACATGAGATGAGGCTGCAGAGGCTAGTAGGATTGTAATGATGCTGGTCGGACTCAATACTAGTATACCTTTGACAGAAAGTAATTTAATAACATCAAGCGAGAGCCTTAAAAATGTTCAAATCCTCTGCCCTAGAAATTCCACTCCTAGGAATACAGGCAAATTTAACAATCAGAAATTTGCACAGATCTTTAGGCAAAAGGAGGGTGTATCAGTGTATTAGCTATATTAGGAAAATATTAGAAACTATCTAAACATCCAAAAATAACAGAATACAACCTTACTATAGAATATTATAGAGCAATTAATAATTTTTTGTTATAATTTTTAATGATAAAGGAAAATGCTTACAATTAACAAGATGAAGAAACAAAACCACACACACACACATATATGATCCTGCTTTTGATTTAAAAAAAAAAACTACAAATACATACAAAGAAATATGAAAGGATATATATCAATCTGATGGCAGAATTAAGGAATATTAGAAATTTTATCTTTAAAATTTTATTCTACAATGAAATACAAAAAAATATTTTGTAATTCTTATAATTATAGATGTAAAGGACAAAAACTGGAATAATTACACCAAAATGCCAACAATGACTATTTCTGGGTAATGGAATTATGAATGAATTTTTTATCTTTACTGTTTTCCATATTTACATTTTCTATAATAAGTATTCTGCTTTTATAATCAGAAAAATAAATGATTATCAGCTCAATAGTTTAAAAAATAAACTGTTGGACTGCATTGTCAGTGATGACAAACACTGATAACGGGTGGATAGATGGGTGAACAGGCTGAATGACTAGGTATTTCTAGGTGGGGGGAGTGTGCCTACAACCATGTATAGAGTTGGCAGACAATGTTTCTACAACTGTATTTGTATGTTCTGTAAGAATTTCCATGTATTACTCCTAGCAACTGGTACACCATGCAATCCTCAGCCTATATAACTATGAGACCAGATGAACTAGATGGTGCCAGGTTACTGCTGTCAACCACTCAGTTGTTGTTGTTGCTGTTATGTGCTGTCAGGTCAGACCCGACTCATAGTGACCCCTCCTTGGGTTTCTGAGGCAATATCACTACAGAAGTAGATTGCCCCATCTTCTTTCCGAGGAGTGGCTGGTGGGTTTGAACCGCCAGCCTTCTGGTTAGCAGTCAGGTGCCTTAGGCACTATGCTACCAGAGCTCCCTCAGAGGGGGATCTATACAGGAGATCCTGGATATAGTGGGAGAATAATGTGGAACAAAACTCAACATCATTTGGAAAAAAAAAAAGGGACCCAGGCTTGCTGGTCTGATAGAGCGTGATGGAATCACTGGGACTACGGCCCCTAGCTGCCCTTAAGGTCTAGAACTGAACCTACACCTGTGGGTTCCAGCCAAACAAAAGAGCTGAATACTGACATTAAGTAGATACACTCCTTAGAACAATCAAGGGAGAATAGAAGGGCTGTGTATATACAGGGACATAGCTCAGGGAGCAGAAGTACATGAAGGGAAGGACACAGGGAAGAGATAACTATGGGGAGGAAGTGGGACGGGAGCTGTTGCATTGTGGTAAATTGTTGTCAGTGTCATGAGACAAAGTGTATGTGAAATGCTGCATGGAAAGTGAATTTACTCTGTAAACTTTCACCCAAATCACAACTTACAAAAAAAAAAAAGAGAATTTCCAGGTATATAGTAGAGCTGAGAAGGGACAAGGTTGTAGTCACTTCTTGGCCACAGCCAGCTACCTGGAGGGAGTAAGTAGCTGGACCTGTGGGCTCGGGACCATGGTCACAGGGGACATCGAGCTCAATTGGTATTAACATACTACACAAAAACACTGTTCCACATCCTGCTTTGGCAAGTAGTGACTGGGATCTTAAAAGCTTGCAAGCGGCCATCTAAATGCAACGATGGGTATCTCTTCATCCAGAGCAAAGAAGAATGAAGAAAACCATAGACGCATGGAAACAATTAGTCCAGGGGACTGATACATCATGCAATCCTCAGCCTATACGACTATGAGACCAGAACTAGATGGTGCCTGGCTGCCATTGTCCAAAACCACTCGGAGGGGAATCTATGTAGGAGATCCTGGATAGAGTGGGAGAAT